GAGACCTTTTGTTTAAGGAAAAAAAAAAAAATCTGTATGTAAAGGTCACAGATTTTGGCAGCGCAAATATTGTGAGTGGTCTGAAGAAAGAAGTGAGTAAAGGTGTGTTTGCCAGACAGGTTTTCAGCTCAGGAGTACAGTGGTGCCGTGGCCCTGTAGTGCACTGCCTGTATTTGGGTGTTCCAAATGGGAATTTCGTCGCTTGTTCAGGGCTGTGTGCTCGTGTTGAACGTTTCACGTCGTGCCCGGCCTCCAGCTGAGCTGGTCGGGGTGTTCTGAGGGCAAAGGGAAACTTGGACAGGGTCGTACCGACCTTTTCTGAAGGCTGGGTGGGCGTTTGCCATCTGCAGCTTCAGGAGCAGACTAGGTTGCTGGAAGGGCCTTTAAGTGATGTCTGATGCTGAGGCCCGTGGCACTGCGGGAATAAAAGGTATCCTGACCTGAAATTACAGATGTTTGTAACAGAAGTGATGAAATTGGTATGAATGAAGTGTGTCTTGTTTGCGAAAGCACCGCAAAAATGGCAGATCAAGTGATAAAAGTATGCTGTGTCTTAGCTGTTGCAGAGCCCCTTAGGTATTCTTAAATTTAAATTTTTGTATGGCAAGAACAGGAAGAAAGGAATTGGGTCCATGAAATACTTAGATAAGGAAAACAAAAGAATTGTGAAATTCACAAGTTTTTCCAAGGCTTATCTGGGTTAGGGTTGTAAAACAAATTAAGGAGTCTAAAAGAACCCAAAGGTCCACTCCTAAATTCCTTCAACTTCTTGCTAAGTATGTATAGTATCATGATGTGGCAACAGTTAAAAAAGAACAATCAAAAAAAAAACCCAATCTCAGACAGGACATTTGAAAATAGATGTCATCAGATTCACTTTGACCTGTCTGACTTTTTATAAAGGGAATGTTGTTTTGGTGTGGGGTTTTTCTGGGGATGGGCAGGGAGTGTGAATGTGATTAAATTGGAATTTGAGGAGGGGGAGGAAATGAAGACAAGACAGTGAAGATCTCTGGTTACATTGAAAATCTGGTGCTATTTGGTATCTTCATGCATCTCTGTGCGTCCCTCACCACAGCTCCAACTGAAGTCACTTGGCTAAAAAGTTGAGCCAAATGGTGGCTTAGCCTGCTGAAAGGGAGTAAACTTTCACTTTCTGTTGCATCTTCTCTGGAACTGCTCAATAAGCCAGGTAACCTGATAAAATGACAGAAAACAAACCCATCAATTTGTTCCCCATCCCCAGTTCAAGAAGAAAACCAATTTGATTTGCTAACTTTATACAGAGGTTAAATGAGCTTGAGAGTGGCACAGAAGAGGGTGTAAAGTGAAGCTGTCAGAAGGAAAGAATGGAGCCATGGGATTCTCCTTTTGGTAATCGTGAACTGACAGGTCTAGCTGTCTTGTATTGCTGGTGGAGAGTGATTTGTGACTTAACAGTCCTGTGGGAAAGCGAAAAGGAAGCGCAGTTATGAAGGTAAAAGTGTACTTTCAGTCATCTCATTTTTATTTCCTCCTCAATCAAGCTGGAATAAATGATGCTAACAAAATGCATTTAGGTATGTAACCACTAAGTTATAGTTAATGTGTTTCTAGGATAGACCCAGACAAAATGTCTTCCAAGCTGCTTTTTATTCTAAGTTTCAAAAAATAAATACTCCATCTGCAGCATAAGTATCCGATCTTCCCTTTCTTCCATGTAAAGACGGGGAAGTATTAGTGTATATTGTCCCTGTAAAAAGAAAAGAAAGCATACAGGATGATGTTACATTTTTTTTCTACAAAACTGTATAATAGTTTGCATTGAAAATGTTTCTTTTTCTTTCAGCTTCAATGAGAAGAGGCAGGACACCACAGGTAGTAAGAACAGTAAATACTGAAACTTATTTGCAGTTAACTCGGGTGTTTGAAAAAGTTTTCTAAGCTATACATCTTAACAGTTTGTACAGGAACCCCTCCTGCGGTCAAAACTTAGTGAAACACTCCAGAACCAGCACCTGGCTTCTTTAATCTCCCAGCTGCTTTCAGGCTGTGTTCCCATAAAGGGAAAAACATGAACAATAACAAGCTAACAGTTAGCTTGTATTGACAGCATGTCCTGCAGGTCTTAAAAGTAACTTAAAATTGCATTTAAAATAAAACCAGACATTTTAATGTTCTTTTCAGTATGAGTTTACAGGTTTTGTAATGGTTGCTTTTTGGCATAAAAGGTCTGATATTGTGCATAAGTGAAACTGTTCTTGCACAGTAGAATTAAAACTGATATCTGAATGTTTAATCACTGAACATTTTCTTCTTTATTCCACACATAAATTTTAAAAGTAGTGTATTATGTGTTATGATTTTTTTAAAGGCAAATAGTAAAAGCGGACCTGGGATGTATTAAATTTTTGTTAACTTCCAAGAGGAGATTTAATGATACACAAAAGCAGTCAGACCAGCTGACTGCATGTATCGACTTGTCTTTTGTCCTTCTAAATTGAAAATTAAGGTTTTGGGGAAAGAAACAATTATTTGATTGTGGGGTTTTTTGTTTGCTTTTTGTTGGGCTTTTTTTTTTTTTTTTTTTGGTAAGAGCATTTGACTGAAACCTTGGTTATATAGTCTATATAAACTATTTCTGCAATATAGTAATACATCGTTCCTATACTGAAATTTCTATAGCAAGCCATTTTGGAGTTATTAACAACTATTTCTTTTAATATGAACTTGTACAGACTTTCAGAATTCCAGAATTTTAAAACTCATTTTCTTGCCCCTCACCAAATGCTTAGACACTATAGGAAATAGAATTTGCAATTAAATTCTGTTTGATTCCCCTTCCTACCCCTGCTGACTTACCACCACACAAGAAGATGGTACGTTCTTCTTTCTAAGCATTTCTGAAATAAAATGCAATTAAAGATTGGGAAAGGCCTGCTACCCGAGCTTTTAGAGCCCATCTTTTAAAAATCCCTTTACAAATGAGCCTTAACTGTTGATGTAAAGGTGTCTTGAACTTTCTGGCTCTGGGAATTTATTCCTGGAATAACTTGTTGTGTGTATTGCTCCTGCTTTGTCTCATCAAACTTTTATAATGTTCAATTTTTTTAGCATGTGCCTCCCAGAGCTGAGAGGATGACTGTTGATCAGGACTGGACCAGTGTTTATCCAACAGCAGCTGCATTTAAACCTGCCTCTGTGCCTCTCCCAATTCGAATGGGTTACCCAGTGAAGAGAGGAGTACCTCCACCGAAAGAAGGCAACTTAGAACTTATAAAGGTGAGACACATGCTGTTGGTGTGTGCTAACTTCTAAAATTATTGTTCACTAAGACTGCACTGCTTTGATTGGAATATTGTATAGAATACTGTTTTCTATTATTAAGTAGGATAACACTGTATTTAATTTCTGAATTAAATCATAACAAATACAAATGTAGGTAATGAACAAAATCAGGAGACTTTTTTAGGATTATCATGCCTGTTACTTTTTGTAATGGGGTTCTCTTAAGTCTTTTGCTAAATCATACTTGAAAAGAGTCATTGTATCTGAATATTTTGTGGAGTGTATTGTACTACCTTAACAGATTTTAAAAGTGTAATCAGGTTTCAGTAATGCCCCTTTATTTACGAACAGACAAAAAGCTATTATGTTGGTATCTTTTAATATGTCTATTTCAGATTCCCAATTTTTTGCATCTTACTCCTCCTGCAATTAAGAAACACTGTGCAGCTCTTAAAGGTGAGGGGTTTTTATTTTTTCTGTTTTTAAAAAACATCTCTCTTGGAGTTTTAAGACAATGCAAAATGTAACTCTGTGGTGATGTAGAAGGTGTGAGATGGTCTGCCTCTGAAGCTGGTTATTTGTCAGGCTTTAGCTAGTATCGTATGCTTTCTTGTTGCTGCATTGAGTCATACAGGTGGTAGGCAGATGTGTCTTGAGAGGTTTTCAGCACACCAGTAAGACTGTAGTTTTACTTTTCCATTAATCTCTGCTTGTACCAGAGAACTTACAGTTTAGCGTCTTAAGGAAAGTGAATGATGAATGTGACTCAATTCTCAGATTACCTGTAGTTAAACCAGGGTTCAATCTGTATCCATTCTGGTATGCATCTAAAAAGAAAAAGCTATTAATAAAGGAAACCCTTTATGAGAGCAAGGTCTGCTGGGCAGGTACAGGATCTAGTGAAGATCAAGAGTGTCTCTGCCAGACAGCAAGACAATAAGGAGAACCTGATGAGGAGGTTAGCCCAAAGAGGAGTGGAGGTACAAGGGGACAGGGAGGAGATAGAATAAGAGAACATTCAGATTGAAAAAGGCCCTTAAGGGCATTGAGTCCAACTGTTAACCTATCACTACCAAGCCCACCACTAAACCGTGCCCCAAAGCCCCACATCTACACATCTTTTAAACACCTCCAGGGATGGTGACTCCACCACTTCCCTGGGCAGCCTGTTCCAATGCTTGACAACCCTTTTGGTGAAGACATTTTTCCAAATATCCAATCTAAACCTCACATGGCCCAACTTGAGGCCATTTCCTCTTGTCCTATTACTTGTTACTTGGGAACAGAGACTGACACCCCCTTCGTTACAACCTCCTTTCAGGTAGTTGTAGGTAGTTATAACGTCTCCCCTCAGCCTGTATGATAAGAGATACGAGGCCTGTCTTGAGTTGCCTGTATGCAAATACATGCAGCATAGGAAACAGGAGGAATTAGTCAGTCTTTGGAGTCACAGAAATGCAGAGCGAAATCTTGTGTGATTGACGCACAGGCAGGGATGACGTGAAGGAGGAGCTGACCTGTACCCAGAAGAACAGCTGAGATGCAGAGCTTTGCAATGAGATGTGTAGTGAGCTGGTTAAGAATTTGAGAGTAGGGATTGGAGGAGAAGCCAAAAAGGATGTCTTGGTGAGCATCTGCCACAGACTGCTTGGTTGAGAAAAGGAAGTGGGTGAACAGCTGAGAAAAGCCCCACAACTGCAAGCTTTGTTTTTTGTGGGGAACTGCAGCCATCTCAACATCTGCAGGAAGGGTAGCAGAATGGGATGGAAGCAATCTAGGAGATTTCTGGAGCATGTTGCAGATAATTTTTTGATGCAGATGCTGGACAAACTGTCTATGGGAAGGTGCTGTGTTGCACGTGGTGCTCGCAAGTGTGGAAGAACTGGTTGGAGATGTCAAGGTTGCTGGCAGCCTTGGTTACGAAAAGAAGATCATGGAGGTTAAGATCTTGAGAAATGTGAGGAAGGCAAGTAATGTATTGAAGGCAGTTTCTCAATGCAGACGGTCACTGAGTTGACTAGGAGATATGCCCTGTTGGATTTGTTGTTCAGAAATAAGGAAGAACTGGTCAAGTATGTGAAGGTTAGTGGCATCCTTGGTAACAGTGGTCATGAAACTGTGGTGCTGAAAATACTGAGAGAAGTGAGCAAGACAGACATTGGAAGTACGGTCTCGACTTCAGGAGAATGATTTTGGTTTATTCAGGAATCTGCTTGGCAGATCTCATGGGGGACTCTCCTGGGGAGGAAAGTGGCCTACGAGAGCTGGTTGATATTTAAGTTCAACCTCCTTAAAAGAGCAAGAATGGTCATTCCAGTGTGCAGAAGGCATGGCAGAAGGGCAGCATGGGTGTGCAGTGAACTCCTGAGTGACCTGAGATGCACAAAGGAAGTACACAGGAAGTGGAAGCAGGTAAAGACTACCCAAGAGGGAACAGGAGATTTTTGCCTAACGATCTTCAAGAAGGGCAAGAAAGGGGATACAGAGAGCTGCAGGTCAGTCAGTGTCATGACATTCCCTGGAAAATTATGAAGCAAACCTTCCTGGAAGCCATTTCCAAGCAAGCAAAAACATGCTTTGTTAGGACTTGGGTAACGAATTGGGAGGGAACAAGTAATACACTGGAAAGCAGAGCTGAAATTCAGAGGGATGTCAGCAGCAGGAAAGAAATGTGCTGCAAGGACCCTCATGAAGTTAAAGGCAACTGCAGAGTCCTGCATCTGGGATGGAATAACCCATGCAGTAGTACAAGCATGGGGTGGGTGGGTGAGCAGCTAGAAAGAAGCTTTGCAGAAAAGGCTGTGTGGAACCTGGTGGGCATTTGATAGTTGAGCATGAGTCAGCAGCGTGCCCTTGTGGCAAGGAAGGCTAACTGCATACTGGGTTGTGTTAACAAGAGTTGAGCCATCCCTTTTAGGAAAGGAATTCTTTTCCCTCTTGAGGATTGCATCCAGTTCTGGCGTCCCCAGTACAAGAAATACGTGGACCTGTTAGAGGGCCACAGAAATGACCAGAGGGCTGGAACACCTCTCCTGTGAAGAAAGGCTGAGAAAGTTGGGGTTGTTCAGCCTAGAGACAAGAAGGCTCTGGGAGAACCTTATTGTTGCCTTTCAGTGTTTAAAGGGGGCATATAAGACAGACAGGGAGAGACTTTTCGCTACGGCCTGTAGCGACAGGACAAGGGGCAACAGTTTTAGACTGGAAGAGGGTAGATATTTAGGTTGGATATAAGGAAGAAATTTTTTACTATCAGGGTGGTGAGATGTTGGAAGAGCTTGCCCAGAGAAGCAGTGGATGCCCCATCACTGGATGTATTCAGGGTGGGGTTGGATGGGGCTTTGAGCAGCCTGATCTAGTGAAAGATGACCCTGCCCATGGCAGGGTGGTTGGACTAGGTGATCTTTAAAGATCCCTTCCAACCCAAACCGTTCCATGATTCTATTCAGCAATTGTGAGTCTGTGTCTAGAGTACTGAATCCTGTTTTGGGGAACCCAGTACAAAGAAAGACATTGAAAAACTGGAGCAAGTCTAGCAGAGATGCTGCCATTATCTAGATGAGTATGGTTTCTATAAGTAGTACTTTTAAGAAGATTCACTGCAATAAATTTGAAAAACAAACAAACAAAACAACAGATACTATGTGGAGTGTTTCTCTTTATTATACAGATTTCTGCACTGAATGGCCAAATGCTTTGGACAGTGATGAGAAATGTGAACAGCATTTTCCTATTGAAATTGAAACAGTAGATTATGTTTCTTCAGGGACATCTATTCGTAATCCCCAAGCAAGAGTGGTGACTTTAAGGGTAAGTAGTATTTTTGGTAAACGAACTTTGTTTCAAAAACCTGAATGCTTGGCTTTCTTTTCAAAACATGTGCAAGTATGAAATATTGTAAGGAAAGGAGGGTAATGGTGTACTGAATGTCTGAATAAAAAGCAGTGGATTTTCTTCAGTATATTGCAACATGTTGGAACCGAGATTGTAAGGTTATGGATGTGTATGAGTGAAGACTAAGCTCTGATATAAACAAAATAGTGTACCTTCTGAAGGATCCACTTATAGAAAAGGCAGTAACTGCCTTTGTACTCAATGTCTTCCTTAGACTCAGTCATTGCTAATTTATAGCCCCTAGAAGTGCACAAGTATTGAAACGTAAGTATTGACTTGGTAGGCCTCCAGGTACCAGTGTGTGTGCAGTAGGAGCAGCAACTTTCTGATCATAAAGTCATGGAATGTTTGAGGTTGGAAGGGAGCTCAGGAGTTTTCCAGTCTGACCTTCTGCTCAAAGTAAGGTAGGTATGAGATCAGACCAGGTTACTTTGGGCTTTATCCAGTTAGGCCTTGAAAACCTTTAGGGCTGCAGATTGCATAAGCTCCCTGGACAACCTGTTCCAGTGCTTCCCTGTCCTCATGGTGGTAGTTAGGGTTGTCCTGTGGCTTTTGAACATGCGTTTTGAGATGAGATTTGAGCCTATCTTAAGAACAGCAGCAGCAGTGGGATCAGTGATAAGTTGTGTTCTTACTCTGTCGGTATAGAAGTTAAAATACCACATGCTCATAATACCTATACATCTCATCATGGCAGCTTTGAACAGTAGTAGTTCGTTTTGTCTGTAGGAGTCTCCACTTTGCCTTTATGTTGTAAAACCTTTTGGGCTGAAACTTAATTTGATCTGTCATTGACTTATATATTTTACACCACTGTTAGCAGTAACTTCACCTTCCCCTTGTAGTCATTGCATGCTAGAGTTTAGCCTTTTGTCTCCTAATTCAGATCCATGGTCAAGAGCAAGTTTTCACAAATTTATATGCATTAGAAAGAAAAGAAAATGAGTGTTTCTGTGAGAACAGAAGCCCCTGACTTCATTCTGGGTTGTGAATGTGTGCAGAGGAGGCACACATTGGACCCGCCTTGCTCCCATGTTCTGTTGTCTCAGATGGACTAACACTGACATTTGCAGGTCAGTGCTGAGTGTGGTGTCACAGGTAGGGGGAAGAGCTTACTTGCTCACATGGCCTTGAATCTCCTCACATTAAAAACAGTGAGGTGGTGAGTGTATGTGAATTTATTGCTTTATAAATCATGTGAAACATTACTAGATACAAATGTCTTCTGCTAAATGTGGCTGTTGGACTAGGGGTTGGCTGTGCTGCAGTTGAGAGGATAATTCAAAATGATACACAAATAAGCGTGTCTGTATTATCCTATATAAATCTGTCCATTAACGTTAACTGGCCTTGGTACTTGTAAGGCATTATGTGGATGTGTATTCTGAGTGTATATTAGAAAAAGGAGGGGTTGGGGTGTGAGACAAAAATGGAGCAACTATCCATATGCTTTTTTAGTTACTGGTGTTCTGATCCCAGACTTCATTAATAAATTCTCTCTGATTAATCTTCTGACAACAAAATCTGCCTAGGGAGGGGGAAAAAGCAGATAGCACCAGCTCAGATAGTGGTTGAGTTTGTATCAGTGAGAGAGCATTTACTGTGCGCTGTGTTATAGACAATGACAAACTGTCTGGTGGATCTTTATGGTAAAGTTTCCTTTTCTAAATATTGTTTAAAAGTTAAACCTTTTTAGTCTTAATTAAAAAAATGTCTCTCTTTCTCCCAGGTATCATACTGGAGATGCTAATTTTTCATCTCTTGTAGCCTAATGCCAGTATTTCTTGTCGTTACATTTTTCCTAGTCTACTCCCAAGTGGAATTGCCCACATTGTGCCAGACCACATAGTACTACAGGATGTAAAATGAGACTTTTTTTTTAAATCAACTGCTGTTCTTTGTGGAGCTCAGACTTTTCTAAAATTCAACGTAAAATAGTCTGCAGCATTCCAGCTACCAATTATAAGCTGTCCAATTGCTATGCCATTTTGAAACAAATAGCCATATAAATGTTTTTCACTTTAAAGGGACTTTGGATTAATAAGAACAACATACTTTTTGTGATCCTGTAATATAGGCAAGAGACGAGATAGCTTTTTAGTTTTTATAGGAAAAGCAAGTCATGCAGAATAAAATCATAGCTTTTTTAACAGTAAATTTCAGATGATCATATTGCATGAAGGCAGCATGATACAGCTATGACAGTGCAAACAGTACTACTCACTGAAATTGTTTTGCATTATTGGTTCAAGCAGCTAATGCTGGACATCTGGGCCTGGGGTATCCCATTAAGTTTAGATAGTCATGGCCATAAAGTGCTTTCGTGCACTTACACAGTACACGTTCTGCATTACACAGCTGAGATCTTGAAAGATTAGTGGAAAGTTGTGTGCTTACCAGAAATTTGTGTCTGAAACCCTTTAGAGTTTGAAGCATTCTTTCTTTCTGTGAGTGTTAGACAATGTTGAGAAAATGTGTTTTACAAAAAGGTGTTTCCCATCAATTTGGGTCAGCATTGCCAGCCAGCAGTGAGGGTAGGCTGTTCTGTAAGGGAAGGTGATCCAAAGGCAGTAAGGCAGGCAGGGGCAGTGACCTCTCTAAAAAGGGTGCAGCCACTACCTGAGCAAGATGAGCAGGACGGGTCTGGTAATACTAACCTTGTCCATCCAACAGCCCAGTAATCTCCTGGCAAGTTCACAATGATAAGACAGGTTTGAAGTCAAAGAGGGAAGGCAAGTCAGTGGATCAGGATTAGGTCTGGTGACAGTAACTAGCATCAGTCAACAGTCTGGTGACTGGCAAGCCAGTCCGTAGCGATGCATGCAGGAGGTGGGGTCAAGCCAGGAAATCAAGGATGTGGGCCAGGGTTCAGTCAGTGGGGGCCAGGTTTGGGTCAGTGGGGGCTGTGGCTAGGCCTGGACATCGCTGTGTGGTGGCTTAGGCAGAGACTGAGGCAGGGTGCCTCAGCTTAGGTGCAGCTTCTCAGTAAAGGTGGGGCAGGCTCACCTTCTTATAGCTCCTGTTTTTGTTTTGAGTCGCCACTGATTCAAGGCTACATGGCTGCTTTGTATTGAAGGGTACTGTGGTGAGGTAGCCTTGAGTGCAAGCCAGACCTTTACAAGGGGATGCTGTGTGCATAAGGGGTCTTGGAAGTATAGAGCCCTCAGAAGTGATTGTTCATATTCATTTTAGGCTGCACTAAGGATAAATCTCTTTTCTTGTCGCTTGACCATTGCCTTAAAGGCTGGATGCACCTCACAGGTCTGGTAGAGTTAGACTTGACAAAATGTGAGCTAGGGAACAAAGTTAGGTGAGCTCCTGCTCACCAGTATTCCAGGCATGCATAGTAGATGAGCCTGTAATTCCTCAAAAAGGAGACATTTTTCATAGAATCTATGGGATAATGAATGTTAGGGGTGTTTCAAGATTAGAAGTTTTGGTATTGAAACCCTGTTGTCTCATGTCATATTTAGGTTTAGTACTTCAGTTTTCTGGTGTCAGTAGTAGGGTTTTTTCTTTTCAGGTGTGGTTTTGTTTTTGTTTTTTTTTTCCTCTGGTATTTATTGGAGCTTCTAATTTCTTTTAGTCGTCCAACTCTTGTTAGTTTTACTGATGCAGGTTTCTTGATTTTTGAACAGGTTTTTAGTACTGTAGCCATGACACAGTAGAAAGAATATAGAGGAAAAACGGTGGACAAATTAGTAAGAGACTGCTATTACATCTTCATGTTGTTAATATTCCTCAGCAACTCTCAATTAATAGAAATTTGTTTCCAACGCCATGTGTCTTTAGACTATTAAGGTTCACAGGCTTCTTATTTGCTATTGTGTGAACAGGTAGCTAAAACCACCTTGCTTTACTTATTATACTATTGCATATTGAAACTAACTTCACACTAACTTCTTAGATTTTAATGTTTTTTTTAAAGAAATACTAGTTACTTGTATATCTTATGTTTCTGGGGTTTCTGGTATTGGAACAGGAGACAAGCCATTCACGCTATTGTTTGATCAATTATGTGAGATCAGTCTGTTCTGGTCCATTATATTGTTATCTGTGTGCATCTTTGCATACTGCTGTTAATCTCCCAGAAATTATTTTGAGAATTCTGATTTGATATCTCCTGAATTGATGTCTTTCCTCTTCTGGATGCTTGCAGTAAGTATCTTTGATATATCTTAGTATTAATCTTACTGATGTTTATTTGGAAAAAAAAAAAGCTAAAAAAGATTTATTTTTCCATACAAAGTACATGTGAATATGAAATACAGTTACAAACTAAGCTAACAGCTCTTTTTTTCCTCTGAAAAAAAGTTTGAGTAGAAATATTCTCCCCTAGCACCTCTGGTATTTGGATGAAAAGAAATTTATTGTTGGACTATTCAGATTATATTTACCCTGTGTCAAGACTTCTGATGTGATACAATCAGAAGAAATTCTGCAAATACATTCTTAATAGCTATCCTTTTAATTCTTGATAAAAGATGTGCCTAACTCTCTCAAAATATTTTCAGGGTGCAGAGATTGAATTTATCCAAGTAGTTAAAGGTGTTTTCTCTTGTACTTGAAGGTTAAACTTTCTAACCTGAATTTGGATGAACATGCAAAGAAGAAGCTCATTAAACTTGTAGGAGAGCGGTACTGTAAGGATACAGATATGCTCACAATTACAACGGACAGGTATGGTTACAAGAAGAAAAAAAAATGCCTGTAACAATGGTCACAGTATAGAAAGGGCTGGGTGACTTCCAGTAATATTAATTATTGGTAAATTTTATATTTTTAACACCAAAATATGACTTAAATATAGCAGCACTCCTTTCTTAACTTTCAGAATTGCAATTGGCAAATCACATAAGGTCAAACCTATTATTTGTTAAATATTTGTAGTTATTAAAGCTCTATATTTAGAAGTCTCAAATATGAAAGTAGATCTCATGTTTTCCAACAGAACCCATGGGTTCTGTTAGTTTTAACAATGATCTGAAGTTTCAGGCAAGAAAAATTACATTGGTGACCAGACATTTCTCAATGTTTTGATGTTCTAGATATAAACAAATCACTGTAGTTACTTAGTTATGTTCAGAAGGTTGTATTGGAGAAACTTGGTCTTTTGTGTTGAATTCTGAACTGTTTAAAAGAATACATATGTATTCCTAGATTCACAGTACACTTGAATTCACAGCTGCTTTTAGTGGTAGGAAAAACATTGGTAGTCTTTGCATGTTTTTATTAGAATTTTTCGCCCTTTTAAATTTTCTGTCCTTCAGTATGATATACTGTTCTATTCTACATGAAAAAATATAAAATGGATAAAATTGTGCATATCTCTTTTGACTAAATTTGGAAATCTGGGTAGTTTGCTGGGACCCCTTGTACTACCAAGTTTCATTTCTCTAGCAAGACTTACTGTGTGGCTAAAACATTAGCGTAGCTGAAAGGAGCTTACCCTTTACAGCATCTGTGAAATGGTCTCGTGCTGAGTTCCAGAAGAAACTCATAATATGCCTGTTGATATTTCACTTTAATTTTAGTAAATTCAAATGTGCAAGCTCTGATTGGTATCCATTTCTTTAATACAGGATTTTCCAGGTGGCTGTTTAGGTTACTTTTGGACAAAGACTCTTTCACTGTGAAGGAATTATGAGTCAAAAGCTTGAGTCCTTTTTAAAGTTTTATTTGCTAGAGTAATCATAGTCCACAGTCATTCCTATGAGTAGCTAAATTTTAGTGTCTCAGATGTAGTCTTGCATGATTCAATTTGTTTTGCATCAAAAAGGGGTGTGAAGGAGCTTGCAGGAAGTGAGTGTGAGAAAGAAACAGGAGGTTATGGTTGATCAGCATGAGGAAGAGATTAATGTCATCAAGTTCTCAGCAGAAGGTTTTCATGACTAGTGTTAAATACACTGTTTTTGCAGGATTGTGTCTTATCACAACAAATTTTACTTGTGATCCTGTTTTGACTTACAGCTACATTGACTTAAACTTTCCTTCTTAAATAGTTGGCTAGATCTCCTGGTCTGAACTGTATTTCATGGCTGTTTTCACCAGTCATCCTCCTCCCTTCAGGTCTGAGGGGGGAAAAAAAAATAAATCATGTTTTAAGAGAGTTCAGGCTTAATGTACATTGGATTCCAGTTTGGCACAGAGGGCAAGGAAGTTTTGGGTGTTCCTGAAGATTTGTAAATTCTTGTATTTTGTACATTTTCCTACTGACTTGCAGTTGCCCATTCTTCCATGTTCTTAATACTCATGCCTTTGTGATGTTATTCCCGATTATGTGTAATTCAGAAAATGCATGTGAATCAAACGCATGTTTTTCTAAGATTCCTACATTACAAATTAGAAATTTTGATGGTAAGTTTAACATTTTGTTCAAGAGTATATTGCTGTGGCTTGATTTCAAAAAGACTAGCTTTGTTTATGAATTTTCAGGTGTCCGCTGAGAAGACAGAACTATGACTATGGCATACACCTCCTCACAGTTTTGTACCATGAGTCTTGGGTAAGCAGTTGTGAATAACACACACTCTCTAACACGCTCTCTCGTAACTTATTAAAAATTCCATGACTGTGCACAGCTTAAATTATCTTAGATTCTTTTCCTCTTCCACCTCACTCTTCTTCAAATTCAACTAAGGTAAGTTGCTTATGTTTGAATCTTAATTCCCCAGTCAACTTAAAGTGGATTTCTTTAGCACAGGTGCTGTTCTGTTGTTTGTATACATAGTTTGTCTCTTTTCAGAAGTTCTCTGGTTTTCGACCTTTCCCAATACTTTTTCTCACAACAATGAACCTAAAACTGACCACGAGCCTAGCGGAAAATGCCTTAATTCTCAGGATTTAGTTTGGCAGCATGCTGGGCTGCCTATGCTCAATATTCAAATACGAATTGAGTGCATCCAGAGAAATGGTGTACTCTGTGATTATCACCTGTTATCTGTGCATTTTTAACAGTGACCATGTTTAAAGACAAACACAAAGACTATTCCAAAAAAGCAAAGGAATGTGTTACTGGCTTTAAAGGTATAAAAACAAACATACAGCACAGTATCTACATTTTGCCTGATTCCAGACTCTTATCTCTTGCTTAGAATCTGTCTTTTTGATCTCTTTCTGGGCTACAGCAAACAATGTCTGTAATGTGGAAATATTTTGCTTATTAAGTGCTCTCTCACAAATCTTGCCTCAAGATGGAAGGAGTGAGGATTTAGGCTGCTTTTCTGAGCTCTGTTTTGCTCAGAAAAGGGACATTCTCCCCACTTACTGTTAGTTCTATGATTTCACTGGGTCAAAGTTAGTGTTCTGAAAAAATATATAAAATTATTGTAACTCTTTTAGATAAATATTTCTACCAAAGCAAGTGTAATGTAGATGTTTCTATAATCATTGAGGATGTGGCATATTTGGAATTTTTCCCAGTAGTTTTTGTTAAATGGTTATACATGTGAAATGCCCAATATAAATGTATTAAAGGTACTATTCCAATTTATTGGTAGTTTACTACAATTCTTAAGTAGTCCTCTAAATAGAATAAGGTATCTTTAGACCTTTCGTTTACAGTGAATTCTTCAGACTAGTCTCCTGTATTTTTGTGTTTAATCATGTTGGTTATAAGCAGTGCCTTCCACAATTTTACAGCCATTTTTTACAGGAAACAAGTTCCCAGTCTGAAATAAAATTATTGTTGAAAACCCATAGTTAAGCTTTGGATAACTTAACATACTACGTTTAAACAAAGTTATTAGTCACTTTGTTTGATACAAACAGTGAAAGCCTTCTAAATTATTGTTGAAAACCCATAGTTAAGTTTTTGGATAACTTAACATACTACATTTAAACAAAGTTATTAGCCACTTTGTTTGATACAAACAGTGAAAGCCTTCATCATCAGTATATTTCCATAGAGGTACTCCTTTAAAAAAGTTGTAGGTGATTAGGTGCCAAAATTCACACTTACTGTTTTCATTTGTTCTATAGTATTTAAATTAAATATCCATATTTAGCATTTTTAGGAATTTCAGTGTTCTTGATTTTGATTGTTGCCATGATGACATGAAAATCATAATAAGGAGGATAAGCTGTATTTCCCTTTCACTGGAAGTTGGCTTGAAGGATACGTTTTGTAGTTGTAGAATGGATCAAATTAAATTCAGCTTATACCAACATATTAAAAGATACATTTACTTTAGATTTCAAGTGCTTTGTACACGTGGATATTTTTCTCCTCAACAGCATTACATTGCATTACAAATCTTAAATTAATGACAGATCAGTTTCCACTATTAAGCAATGACAAGAAGGCTAGACACTGTTCACTTTATTAATTCCAGACAAATGCCACATCTGTCCTTTGCTCTAGCATTACTTAGTGATGGAAGACAGGGCTATACGATATTGCGACGTGAGTGTTCAGTGTGTATTGAATATGCACAAGTCTCTTGCCCTTTTATTACCTTTCAACTTCCATGTTAATATTTGATGAGTTCATCAATCAGTTGTAATTGTCTTTGATTTCCATAAAAGATTAATGGTCTCCTGAGACATGGGTTTTTTTGTGTGACATGTTTTGTGGCTTCTTTTTTTTTTCCGTGATCAGTGGTAATGCCTTTTAATAACTTGCTCAGAGACAGTTTGGGTATGTTTTGTAAACCATAAGCAAACAATGTATGGTTTGTTTTAATTTGTGTGAATTTTAACGTTGGAGGTGGATGGACAGGGACTAGCATTCCATGTAGACAGTAACATCAATCCTGTTTAAAGAACTAATTGCAAGATTTGGTGACTTTCCCAGCAAAGTAGTGCCACACTTTCATGCATGTGCATGATGGAATTCAATAAAAAGATGAGGGCAGTGTTCCATTCTAAGTGAAGGGAAAGCTGGCTGCATGTAAATTCTGCTCTCAATCCTGAAAACTCTGCCTACTATATCTCTAAATATGGCATAATTCTACAATGTATGTTAATAGCTGGATTACTGAATTTTGTGAACCAGCTAGCATGTGAATATATATAAAAGGAAAAATTGTATGCAGATATACATCAGAAAGTGTCGTTTCAAGCGTAATTATAGTTTAATTGCCAGTGATGCATAATTCTTCTATTACAGTTATGAACTAGGGCATCCAAGTAGTTCAGGAGTTGGAAACATTTTTAAAACAGTGACAGTTCTTTGTAGTTTTGTTGGGTATGTAGTGAACTGTGTGCTACAAAGCTCCATTGCGTAGAGATGCAGTTCCAGCAGAAAGTTACTCTTAAAGTAATGAGTATGGAGAGTTTAGTTCTGGGTTGTCTGTTTCTATATGCATGGTTAGAAGGTAAAATTTATCTCTGTGTCAACAGTAGCCTCTTACAAATTTTCTCATATGCTTTTCCAGTCTCTGCTTCAGTAAAAACCCAAGGCATCCATAGCTCACTAATTGTATCGCTATTGCACTAATCCAGGTGAAATTAGTTTTCAAGGATCCTTGTTATAATGGAGTTACAGTTGAAGTATGCAGACAAAATGGAAAAGAAAGAGGAGGAGATTACCAACAATTGGTACAGTTATTGCTCTGCCTTAAGGCGCTGAATACCTTGTTAAGAATAGATTTCTTCCTTGGATTGCCGTGTGGGGAAGAGAGATTGTTTGCATTTAAATAAATGAATGAAAGGTTATCCAAATCAAATTTGGCAAACTGGTTTCTGAGAGGTACTGCAGCCAAAGGAAGGGAAGCGTGTTGGTAGGTTAATGCACTGACTAGCATTTTTGTCACTAACCTGCTAGCCATCAAGGGATGCTGCAAGACAGACTAGCAAAATTGTGAAAGGCTTTGAGGATATGTTGGAGGATTGTACCTGGTGTAGAGAAGTTTTCAGAGAAGTTCAGGGGTTTTTTATAATCATATGTAAGAGCTCCTTTCTTTTTTTTTTTTTTTGAATGCATGGGACAATAAGAAAAAGGAAAGGAATTGAAAGGAAGGAGCAGCTTTATTTGGTTTTTTGGGGTTTTGTTGGTTGGTTGTTTTTTTGTGAAAGGAGTAAATGAATGTCCTTTTTGATTTGTTTTTGTGAGTGTTGGAGGAAAAAGCAGAGTTTCCATGCTGTGGGAGGGGGGG